CAATCAAAGGTGTTGGCTGCCCTAAAACAACTTGTCAGTTCCCGCAGTTCAAAACGTCTTCATGTACACCCAGACACAAGCATGACTGTAGCACAATGTCATAATTTAATGAATCTTTCTTGACAGCCACAGAACTTGTAGCCATCCAAACAAACAAAGGCAGCATTTAGGTAGTAAGGAAGGAAGGTAGAGAGCGAAGGAAGCACTGATGAGATGAAGGGTAAGAATGGAGGCGGGTACGATCAGGAAGGTAAAAATAGTCTCTGACTCAGCGGGTATATAAATACTGAGGATGGCCTAGAAAACCCAAGTGTGCTCCAGTGTTCATTCAATGTTGTCTTCTCTAACCAGCTGCTCTTTCTCCTTCTGTCCTGTTGTTTTTTTCTTCTTATTTATTGATACACCTGCTCGTCTTTTGCTTTACTATCTTAAGTGGAACACAAACAAACTCTACTTCTGTTTTGTTCAAATCAACACATAACTGATGTGAAGTTTCCAAAATTCCAAACCCACAAAAACATCCGGTGATTAAATAATCCGATAACACCGAGGCTGCACCCAGCGTTACTCCCAGATCAATCACCTTGACAAGCACATATCTGACATAGCAGCATGTATCTTTTTGGAGTGCGTGTGTGTTGAGTCTGATACCTTTAGGTGTTGCTGGAAGTTGTTAAGTCAGGAATGCGTCCTGTCTAACAAGCTTATTAATGGTTTCCTAATATTGAGGATGAGTTCAGCAGGGTGACAGCATCTTTCCATCAGAAAACTTGACACTGTGGTTACGTCTGTGATGAATGGTATCTACCAGTGTTTGGTAACAGTTCAAATGAAACGTACATTATCGAAATGACATGATGACATTAATTATTTTGATGGCAGTGTTAGAATTAAGTATATTTCGAACTATTATGTATTCTGAATCTATATTTTGCACTGAGCCTATGATTCTGTTTCGTATTTTCCTACTGAGAACAGCATATGTCCTTGAAGATAATGTGGCCGGTGAGAACCGGTTTGCACACTTGGAGACAGCAGAAACTCCTCTTTTCTATTAGATACGATTGTTACTTTAGCTACACGCCGTACCAACAACATCCACACACATTGCTTACCAAATGTCAAGGATGTGGACAGAGCGCAGAAGAGGTATGCCTGTCCACGCCATTGGTAACTGGCCAATTAAATCTTATCTATGTTTGGGGCAGTCCCAGCCCAAGAAGGTATCTGTAACCTGGAGCACTCAGTTCAGCTGGACATGCGATTCCTCTCTGTCCCTCTGAATTCCAGCGCTGCAAAACTTTACCTGTGACTGAAATAAATAAATTATACAACTGAGAACTGAAGATTTCTCCGGCTTGTTTTGGGCTTCCAACTAAAGAATCGGGTCTACCAGCAGTCAACATCTCTCATGGATCACTGACACCACCTGTATGTTATAAGTTGTAGTTGAGCTGTTGAGCTGAGTGTCATCCTGAAATATCCAGCATTTACCACTCAGTGAAGAATTACATATGACTGATTCTGATTCTGATTCTGATCAATAGTTTATTGAGAAATACATGGTTAAATAACAAATGGGCTCAGAAATGTGCTGTTAGCTATAGCTATAATTTATTACAGGAAAAAGTGAAAACCAAGTAGAAATGTCTAGGCCTAAAAATAGCCAAAATTGAAATGCATTTCCTCAAGTGGCCACTTGAGGCTGGATCAAAAAGCGAGTCAACCCCCGTTAGACTTCCATGTTAAAATGCAACACTTTACAGCAAAAATAAACATATTTACAGCCTGGTACTAAAAATGTGTTGGTCTCTATAGTTAACTTCCCCATCCATGAAAACTGTATCGGTAATAAATGTATGTGTCACTCAACTGTTTAAATTGTATTCAGGCTTATAGTTATGCACGATAAGGGGTCATAGGTGGGTACCATCACAGAACAGTTTATACCTCAAAAACATTTATGTGGCACGCCTCAACTCCTCTTGTGCTCCACCTTTTTGCTAAATTTTGTACTAGCCGGGAGTTTGGAAGAGTCAGAGCTGGCAGTAGCCGCAGCCGCCACACTGGGCTTTAAAATCTTTATTTAAAGTCTATTTGTAGGAGACATTTTTCTCCACAGAAACCAGCAAGGCAGCCATATGATGCCACTTTTCTCTGCCGATTTAGGCCGTTGCAGGTGCTACACTTTTCCGACTGACCCTCAGTATGCACCTATGTTTAAAACAATTTTTTCCTCCTTCTGACACCCTCTAGAAGACATTGAGTTTTGTGTTGATATCAAAGCTGCAGCTCTGGTTTATATTATGTAGGTAACCAGGGAATGGAAGATCATTCGGCAAGGCAGGTTTATTCGTATAGCACATTTCATACAAGGCAAAGTACGTAATAAAACATAGTAAAGGACAAATTATTGAAAAACTGAACAATTCACAATTTAAAAAGAACAATTAAAAATAGAAAAAAGTGCAGATATGAGATGGAAAACAAATTTGCAGTCCTTAAAGGGTAGAGAAGGCAGAATAATTATATTATATTTTCCAGTTGGGCCTTGTCTAATATCTGGAAAGTTATTTCAGGTGGGACCACTGTATCACAACTAGCCCAACTTCACTTATTAACTTAAAAACCTGGCTGATCTACTTTCCAGTTTTCCATCTTTGTTTACACAGATCAGCCATAACATGAAAACCACACCACAGGAGCGTGTGCTTGGTCTGCAGCAGTTTTTTGGGCGGTTTCCTCAACCAGAACATAACACTTTAATGACGTGATCACAGTTCTTTACTTCACCTGTCAGTGGTTTTAATGCTGTGGCTGATCAGTGTATGTCTAAAGTAAACTCAATTCTCTGCATTTTTGTTTTTATAGAAACACCCCTGTCAAAACATGGCATATTATTTGTATATGTCAACCAGCTATGAAGCTTACTGCTAGCTTCTCACTCACCTCAACCTTGTAATTCCTGTTTTTCATGGATGCCTGGACTCTACCTTTAATTATACCACCTAATCATCATTTTTAACCCTCAGTGGTACTTCACCACAGAAGGAAGTGATAATGGAAAAAAGTTTCCCAAGCTACATTTAATTTTAGAATCATGAGGAGCGTTTGGATTGTTATATGATGTGTGGCATCAAATTTAACAAGCAAGTAAGCTACACCAAAATAACATTTGCATACACCAGTATTCATACACAAACTTATTGCGACAACAAATGGTAGACACATAAGTATGTCACAATAATGCAGTTCCATAATAACTTTGCGAACTTTTTAAAGCTAAGTTAGAGAAGAATTTGATGTTATGTTAATCTATATGTTTGATACTAATACATTTAAAAGAGCTGGCTTGGGCTGATGTTTGGTTTTCTCTGTTCAATGTAATTTGGTATTTTGATTTTACTCAGATACCTTTGTATCAGTTAATTACAGTAGATCTATTTATCCTGAAGTATTAAACAGAAAAATCCTTATGAAATAAAAACAACAGCAAAAAACACAAGCACAAGTTTTGAACAGGACTTTTGAGCATCTTTTAAGCATCAATCTTACACAAGGTATTGTTTTTTTTTTTTTTTTTGATGACTCTTTAATCACTGGCCATATTTATTCTGGAATTTCATTCTGTGTAAATGTTTTAGGGACTTTAGATGCTCAGGGAGGCAACTGATCAGTCCCTAATTCATTCTACAGCACGACTACAACCCCGAGTGTGAGTCAACTGTCTTTAGATCAGTAAGGTTTGGTAGCAGCCACTGATCACAACCTTATAGAGATGATATGAAGAGACAGAAGACACTCAGAGACTAAAGTCACAGAGGAACTATGGTAGTTTCTCCAACATGCTTTGAACAAACTATCTGCCAAGTATCTTAACTTCTTTTTCCTCTGTCTGGAAGTATTTTTTTTAAATCATTCTCACTAACACTTTTACAAAGCATTGTATATTTAACCATACAGCTGATTCAATTTCTGCAATTAAATATCATGTGTTTTGATTTGTCCACATTAATTTTTATTACTCATAGCCCACTCATGTGATAGCTAATTGCTATGATTTCACAACATAATAACTGGTTGTGCAGTCCCTAAACAGTGTGTACTATTAGCGAGTCACAGGGCGGTGATGTGCACCACTGGTTGTGAGTCAGATCCAAACGTACGACAGTGAGAGCGGCATGTTACCTGTCCTGCTGGGCCTCCTGGCATCACTTTCTGTCTTTTGAGGAGCCAGTTTTTTTCCAAACAGCAGCCAACCTGTTTGATCACATGGTAAATAATGCTTTTAAGGTTGTTGTATAGTAAGTGTACATTTATTATTTTTCTGTATTAAACCTTTGCAGTTGTTCTTGTTAATACGTATGTGTGCATATATATATCTATGAGTGATAATTGTCTTTCTTTCCCCACAAAAAACACAATGTCTCAACGTGCAGTGAATCCTCATCAATCCAACTTCAAAGGGAGAATTAACTGCTCATGGATGTGACATCTGTGCACCACACCTCTCGGAGATCACAGTTTGTCACACAGCAAGTCAGTACTGTAGTTTATGTGCAGTAGGAAGCTATTAACAAATGAAACTACTATTGTTGCTGCTGGAGACAAACAAGCACAAAGTCAATTTATATTATATACAGATACGACATGAGTCTTTTTGATTTCTTTCTATGAAAAATAATCAATGACAGACACAGTGTGACAACAATATCATCCATCCATCCAATATCTATACACCGCTTAATCCTCACTAGGGTCGCGGGGGGGCTGGAGTCTATCCCAGCTGACTTAGGGTGAAGGCAGGGGACACCCTGGACAGGTCACCAGTCTATCGCAAGGCTACACTTAGAGACAGACAACCAAGCACACTCACATTCACACCTATGGACAATTTACAATCACCAATTAACCTCAACATGTTTTGGACTGTGGGAGGAAGCTGGAGAACCCGGAGAGAACCCACGCTGCACAAGGAGGACATGCAGACTACAACAATATCATCTCATTAAAAATGTTAGTATTTAATGATAAAAACACACAGTAAACATAAATTGAGCATCAAGTTTTAGATACAATTTGATAAAAAATTCACTTTTAAGCTGCTTGTGTGACCAGAGCATATATAGCACATTGTGTTTATTTACACTGAATAAAGTGCACAATATATCAAGAGGCGATTTTTCATTAAAGGCATCCCAGTGCCTGCTAGGACAGTATTTAAACATGTGAAAACACCCTGATGTCTAGAATTGAAAGGATGGCCAACATGATAAAATTCATGAATGATTAAGAAGAATGAACAGAAACATGAGTAACACACCAGTGTGTATGTAATAATGCTGTCTTTTGATAGTAATAATATTATCATGGATGTTCTTGCCAGTCATTTTATTCATATCATGTGCCTCACCACGCAATTGATTTTATTCACTTTCTCCCTCTTGTTTTTATTCCTCATGCCACTGAGGTTACAAGTATGCAAATGTCTCACAATATGAAACCACATAATGTTGTATACTTTGGATAAAAACAATAAAAATCTAAATAGCAAAAATCATCAAGTAGATGATAAGGCGAGAGCACAAGGATATACTACTGTAAATGATGGTGTATGCTGTAAAACAGACGGATAAATGCATGACTGTTGCATTCAAACAGCATTGTTGTGCTTCCACAATAGACAATGTTTGTTCAGTCTGAACCATTGTTGCACTAGTTTCACCTCAGTCTATCATACTTTGAGGCTTACGTGTTGTTCCTTTGTTTGGACACTGTGTACACATCAGTGAGCCAAACTGTGCTGTAAGGTGTGTAATATATGGGAAAAATGGGGAAAAACACACACATGTGTTTAGGTATACATGCTATTTTTACTGTAATATAACAAAATGAAGTCCTAATATAATAAAATATTGCTGTTAAAACTGTCAGTCACCTACAAAGCACTTGGAATTGTTAAACAGAAACCTGTTCCTTGACCTAGTAGTAATTGTTTTCTGTCTGTGAAGAGTTTGTGATTTATAGCGCTCCATCTGTACTCAGTAATTATTCTAGAAGTCATTTCTCAGAGGGCTTTACACACAACACTCAGTCTTGGGCCCTTTATATTGATTGTTACGCATTAAACTCAAAAATCACTTTTCAGGGGGCTGCAGAGCTACATCATGCAAACGACTTTTTCGATCTATGAGCTTCAGCTGGGTTGTGCAGTGGAATTGCTGCGGTTGATGGTGAAGGAGCGTCCTGTCCTGAAATACTCCTCTATCTCCTCCAGCGAGCGGCCGCGAGTCTCCGGGATGCACACGGCGTTGAACAGCAAGCAGAGGATGCACACCACGGTGAACAGAAGGTAGGGCGCGAACAGGCCATACCTGTCCACCAGGTGTGTGAAGGCGTGTGTGAGCATGAAGGCCGTCAGCCAGCTGACGGCGACACACAGGCCTGAGGCCACACCCCTGGCAACCAGTGGCAGAACCTCTGACATCAGCAGCCATGTAATCGGGCCCCATCCCATGGCGTATCCTAAGAGACAGCCAACAATGAGATGACAATGCAAGCAGCCCATTTAAAGTACATCATGTCACAGTACAATAAAACCATCAAACGTCAGGGACAACGATTCAGGGCCGAGTCACAGCATTTTTTAGGAGTTCATCAGACTCTGGAATATTTGTTTAATTTGTAACAAAGGAGTATGTTTGTGAAAAAGAACTTTAATTTGGATTATGTACAAATAAGAGCAATTTTCTTGAATCTAAGAATATGTTTGAAAAGTTCTCCAATTTAAGTAGGTGTGGCGGATTTTGAAGGATGTTAATGTGTAACAGACCACAGTTAATTAAGCTTCATATACAAAACAACTACCTGAGGACATAACAGGCTCTTTAACATGTTGGAACAAGACAAGAAAACACAACATGGTTGAATACAGGCACACAAGTCCGACAGGTTATTAAATCTCGGCCCAATAAACAAAGGTATCTGTCATGACCCACCGGCCCCAGTCCCAGCCCTCGCCTGTCTCCCTCTTTTTCTCCCTCCCTTCTCCCTCCTCTTTCATTCCATATATTCAGACTTTCATTCAATATATTCAGACTTTCATTCAATATATTTAGACTTTCATTATATATATTCAGACTTTCATTCCATATATTCAGACTTTCATTCCATATATTCAGACTTTCATTCAATATATTCAGACTTTCATTCAATATATTTAGACTTTCATTCCATATATTCAGACTGTTACATATATATATAATTTCCTAAACGGCATGCCATATATATATATATATATAAAACAAACAAAAACCATTGTGGTTCTGTAAACTAAATGCATAACCATTTGTTATTTGTTCATAAGTCAAACTATTGGTTGAATCTAAATTTTGACCCTCACAAGATGAAAAACTAAAAAACTCACAACCTGTCTGTAAAGACTTGAAATATGTACATCAAATTGCATGCTCCACTCAATAGTTGTCAACCTGTTTAACTCAGGTCAACCTCATAGTGTTCTAGAGCTAAAAGATCATAAACGTCAGTAATGTTTCTCCACTGGGGACCATGAACGTATACACCGAGTGTCATGCCTATCCATCAGATAGCTTTAAGTTGTTGAGCCCCAAGTTGTGAGCTGGTTCCAGAACTCACCAAATATAAAGATGATAGTACTGATGAGAGGGACGAGGGCTGCTGCAGACTGGGGACTGCTCTCCAATGCGCTGCCGATGTCATTGTGGAGGTCATAGCTCAGAGTGGTGAGGTTTGGAGGAGCTGGACCTGGAGGGCAAGGTGTGGTGTGGGAGTTCATGGTCAGCGTCAGAGAGGCCACAAACATCAGCATGCTCGACGTGTACAGCAGGGCTTTGCGTCCCGCCTTGTCCATCAAACTGGCTGCCACGACAACAGACAAGAGGCGGACTCCGCCCACAATGGCGGCGTCAAACCTAGTAAACAGAGCAAGCAGATTTGGGGTCAAGAACAACCTAGAAAGCTATGATGTCTAATATTTCATGCTTGCACGTGATTTAATAGGCAGAACATTAATATATTGACATTGTTACAAAGACAATGAAACTAGCCTTGTTTTCTGTATTAAACACATACTAAACAAACACTGCAAACAGAAAAATAGATAAGAGAAAAAATTTAATGTTCCCAACCTGGGCTCCAGGGAGACTTTGCTCTTTGCAAAGATGGGTTCTAGGTAGACCAGAATGGGTGTAATACCCGTCATTTGCTGCAGGAATCGCATCACCACTGAGATAGCAATTGGTCGGTAGTAGTTGGGTGTGGCCAGCTGGGACAACGTGAGTCTAGTCTGTGTGTTGATGCTGTGCTGCAGTGGTAGAGACATAGCAATGTAGGTATTTATTTTCATTTATAATCCTGTAGCTTGTAGATCAGTAAAGTCAGTGCAGATGTTATCCACAAAAAACCTCATCTGTCTCATACTCGGTCTTTTAACCCAAGACTGCTCATCTTTTACCTGTATGGCACTGAGTTCGATGTCTGTGTTGTACTGATCCCCCCTCAGCCAGCGGAGGGCCTCCTTGGCCTTCTGTGGTCGGCCCAGAGAAAGGAGCCTCCTGGGGGAGGAGGGCATGAACACCAGCAGCACAACCATGAGCAGAGCCGGCACCTCTCCAGCCACCGCCAGCCACCGCCAAGGTACCACCAGAGCTGAACATCATACAGGACGTTGACAAATGTCATATATTTTAGAAATATCACTATAAACACCAGGAGATGACCCAATATTGTTTGCACTGGGCTGCCTAATGCAAAAAAAGAGAAAAAAATGAAAACGACTAAATTGCAAAATGAGCTCAAAAATTCAAACTGCACGACCAGCAGAGTTTCCTAAAGGCTGTTCAGATGTTTAATGACATAATCATGTATTTTTTGTTTATAGGGGTAAACCATTTGACCACTTACATGGCAAGAATACAATATGGCATCTCATCTTATAACGGCATATTTTCTTACCCTGACATTTCTACTAATATTTTTTGATTGAGTGATGTATATCAACTGGTTGTTAATCATCATCAGAGTCCCTGTTAATGTTTGTTGAAGGTCAAACCAACAAATGTCTCAGAAAATGTGCAGAAAACCGAAACATGTCCATTTTTTTCAGCCACTATCAAACAATCGAAGAGTTACCTACAGTACATACTTCATTGTGAGAACTTCATTTACTATTTATATATACTAAGTTGAGTATGCCAGGTTTTTTTTCTGATCTTTGCAGAAACACTGTGCTAACTAACAGCCATTTACTCTATCTAAATAAAAAAAGAGCTAAATGTGTATTAAGTGGGCATAATTTTCATGTAAGGTTTTAGTACTATGCAGTGTCGGTATGTTCCTACCGAGTGCATAGAGTGCCAGTGCCCCAAACACTGCTGTGATCTGAGGGCAGGAGCCAAGAGCTCCTCTCACTCCTTTGTGGGAGATCTCTGAGATGTAAACCTGTGACGGAAACACACAAAAGACAGACGTGAAGTGACATGAACACATGAAGTATGAATCCAAGCAAGAAGTCTTGAGATACAAGGAAAGTTATTTGGACATTTCAACCATGCTCCAAATAATTTAATTGCATTGGATAATTAAATGTAAAACTAAATTAATTTCATTTTCTTGTACATGTCATTGACCTCTAAAGCTGTATATGCTGCCAGTTTCTTTTCTTTTTTCACTCATAATTAAAATTCTAATCCGGTCCGCTTGAATCTTTCTGGATTTACCGGTGCACCTTCTGTTCTTAGTCTAAATCCTCTATCTTAATGATATTAATCTTTTCTCTGAGCTTTTATACAACTAATTTTAAGGTGATTTACAGTTCATCACATAAACAGTAGATATGTTGCACAGTTTAACAATTAGAACTTGTACAAATATTTCTTATTGTCATTTTGAAGGGTATGCTCATGCTTTCTCAGCTGACAATATCTATACTGTGATAATATTTGTTCATTTAAGTACAAAGAAACCAGTTACCAGCTAATCTAGAAATCTTATGAAATCAACTTATGGAGGTTTGCTACTAGTTCAGTCGTCCAAATACTTTTTAGGGCTGTTGGAAATGTACAAAGATTCTAAAGAACATGATCACTTTTTGCACCAGTTTTAGCAGAACTCTGATTTTTGATTTTTTATAACGTTGGTAACCTACTGGAATGGACGCCGCAGTCATTCCGCCAGCAACTCCAGTTAAGAAACGTCCCAGGTGGAGCATCCACAAGTCCACAGCTCCTCCCATCAGCATGTACCTGAGCGACACATGTAAGGGAATTTATGAAAAAATGTGATGAGTTTGCTGCTGTGTGTAGACTTTCAAGTGCGTAAAAACATCAGTGGATCTATTGATGGTTAGATACTAGGCACTTGGGAGGAATACAATAGACCTTGTCAACCTTATCACCAGGCCAGAGTGAAATTTAAATAGCTCCAGCAAAGACAAAAGTAAAGAATGGCCTTGTAGTGATGAATCTGTAAACTCTGATGTTGTTGTAACTATTAAAATGGTGCAACAAAAGATGAAGCACAACAAACACTGCATCCATTTAAATTTTACTACCAGGTAAATGGAACATAGTTATATTTTAGCAGCAGATTCTGGTCCAAGACAATGTTAGAATTTTTTATTTTTTTTTATTTTTTTAGTGTTCTGTCCTCTAGATTAATGCATTATATTCTTTCGGAAAGTTCTGGTAGACATTCTTACATTATTCTCTGATGTTAAAGTGGCAGCAACATGGCATAAAACTGCTTTGTTAGAAATGAATGGGCTGCATTCGAATGCAGAGTCTTGGTGAGTTTAAAAGTTAACATTGCGTCATCATACACCTTAACTATTAAATCACTGTTTATGATGCATATATAGGCAGAACCTTGTGCAACTAGTAACTACATCTTAATTTGTATTGCTCAGCTTAAATAATTGAAATAAAAATTGGAATTTGAATCATATAATTTGAATTTGTACTTATTTAACTGAAGCTGTATTCTAATAAACCTGAAACTTAATGTAATAGTTTGAAACTGAATTCTATTACTTATGAAATTCAGATTTGGATTCTAGTACTACCCATATCCATGCAGGTGTTTACAATATTTCTACTACATACACCTGTAGTTTCATAACAGGGTCTTATTAAGATGTACAAAATATTACATGTGAGTATTTTAGAGTAATTGAAAACAGAATTTCCTCTATAATACAGTAAAGTAAAAGACTACTGAATATCTCTGCATTGTACTTGAGTAAAAATACTCTTAGTTTCCTCGCAGAATGGTTTCTTGGCCTCATGCTGCTGCTCAGACCCACCCAACAGTGGAGGGCACTGCCGACATCATGATGCTCATCTTTCGTCCGACCATGTCGTTGAGCAGCATGGCCCCCAGCCCGCCAGCCGCTGCACCCAGTGAGTAGATGGAGCCGAACCAAGCGGCCTGCTCCGTGCCCATCCTGAGCCGGGGGTCGGCATCGGGGCTCTTGAACACCGACAGGACAGGAGATGAGTAGACCAAGGAGTAGCCAAAGTTGAAGTTCCCCAGGACTGCTGAGAACACGGCCAGGAACAGTTTGGAGTTTTTAATCTAAGATAAAGGAATGTAGATGAATTAAAAACAAAACACAAGATAAACTGCACATATAGAATGGCAAACAGAGGAATATAAATGATTAGGTGATTAGGTTCTTTTGAAGTTAAATATCAGTGTACATAAAATAAAGCAAACAGAAATGCTTGCAATCCAATATCATATATAGATTTTGCTTTGTGGCCAGTTTTAAAAGGGGAAGTCAAAAGTTCAGCAATAAACAAAACAATTATTGTGACAAAGCGGATGAGAGCATGTATTTGTCACATTAGCAATTGGCTAAATCATAATCACTAGTCCTGTTTTTTGTGTTTAGCATGATATTTTGTCACAGTCTGTAAAGGTAAAATGAATATTATAAGTATTAGTCATCCCTTGAAGCTGGTTTTATGTTTCTCTTTTTGTTTTTTGAGTTAAATGTGCTGCACTGTATAAATAGATCAGGCTTTTTAAAAAAACAATCTGTTTTACTTTGTTCTTAAGTTAAAAAAGAAAACAGTCAGACTGTAGCAGCAATTTCTTACTTCTGCTAAATCATGTTTCCTTTGCCAAAACAAAAAAGTCCGACTGAATCATATCCTTTCTCTCAATATTTCCATCTGACGACTGCACTTTTCAAAAGTTATTTCAGTTCTCCTTCCTCGTCATTGTTAATAAGACACAAATTACGGGCTACATTTACCTGTTTTTAATGTTTTTAAATGCTGTTGCTCTGCAAATACCTCTGATTGTTGCCATAGAAACACTGGTTAGCGGGTGTTGCTGTTTTTTCCCTCCTGTGAGTAAGTTGGTTACCTTTAAAGGTTTAAAATAATTCAGTCAACTTGCATTAGATTAATTTAAACAAAATTCAGACTGGCCTAAGACAGAGCTGTTGAAGGTGTTTTGGTGAAATTAGACCCTAGTCTCACAATGAATTAAACTGTAAACAAGACATAAAGGAAAAACAAAACTAAATTACTCTGCTATTTGAAGATAAATTAAAGTTAGTGAGCTGTTTCCAACCGTGGATTCAGATGATGCTGGTCTTCTGTGTAGCAGTGGAGTCTCTTCATCCATTTCTGCAGCAGTCTGATGAGTGACAGCAGCCTTTATCTGAGATGTTTGAGCTACACAATCACTTTCAGGATCTGCAGTGTTCCTCCAGGAAAATAAAACACACACACATATATATAAAAGCTAAAAATAAAAAATACAAAATAAAAATACAGCCAGATGAGTCCACTCTGTTCCAGTGAAACTTGACTCCAGTAAAGCTTCCCACAAAAACTACTCAAAATGGCAAAACATACAGACTATTTGGTTTAAAAACAGTCATGTCTGCCCTCCCCAAGTGTTCTTGTTATGGACAATGTGCATTCCAGGGACTTTCAGCCAGTTAGAATGAGTCACATAGGGGCGAGAGGCTACAAGTGGTCATAGTCAAATCGAAAGTGGAAACAGTGGTTACACAGGACATCACGAGTCCAACTGAGTTTATGTTGAGTGGAACATTTTAAAACCAGCAGGAAGAATTACACAAATGAATGAAGTGTCTCAAAATATTGCAAATTGATGAGTTCAGATGTGTCATTGCTGGATTTTAAAGAACTTACTGGTCAAACTATTATAACAATTAATTCCACTTTAGTGTAAATGAAGCCGCTGTGTTGCAACACACTGCTGTGTTGTCATGAGCAGAAAGCAGAAGGGAGGGATCTACAGTGAGATTCCTGGATTGGGTTATTCAAAAAGAAAGCAGAAGAAGAAGAGAGTCAGATCCCCTGCTAGTTGAATCAGGGGGAAGAGGAAAAGTACACGCGGCTTCACTCTCAGCCCACACATCATGAGATTTACTGCAACAACATGCACAGCTAACAAGGACACACATATAAGAACATGCACGTTGTCGTCATTTAGTAGAAACGTGTTATTTTGCAAGAACTGTGCTGATTGACATCAGTTATGTTCCACGAGAATGTTTTAATGAATTGAAACTTTATAACATATATCCAGTTATTTAAACTTAAGGTTAAGTTGTAAATGGAGAAAACTTTAACTTTTATGAAAGTAACTGTGCATCCATTATCATATAATTTAGTAAATACTTGACCTCAGATTATTTTGATCAGTGTTCTTCTCCTTCTTTTGTGTTTATTTGTGTTGCAGAGCAGCAGCGTGATACAGAGAGAAGCTGAGTACCTGTTAAATCCATCTGCATTTCCTTTCAGCTCCCCAGTGATGCTGTGGAAAGTGGAAAGTGTGTGCTTATCCTAATCTGTGGGAGTGCTTTTGTGCATTGTGTGTCACTGTTTCTACAGTGTGGATCAAGACCAGCCCTTTACAGCTGTTTTCTCCTCTCTGTGTTCCTTCACTTTCCTACAGGAACCCCAGCTCCCAGCTGCATCTGTCCTTGCTCCGGTGCAACATGGGCGACCTCGGGACCAGACACCGGGCCCTGGTCCTGGTTCACATGCTTCTGCTGCAGCTTCAGTCCGTAACGGTTCAGGGAGCTGATCCTGTGTCTCAGAAACTACGACGACTCAACGAACAGGTCAGTTCAGATGCGACTGCGTGTCATATTAGGATTAACAGTGCAACAGTTCGTGTCACATTGACTTTAATGGGCTTAATGCTTCTGCAGAACTGTGGTTCATTGCACAGCTTTGTGTTTTTCAAGGACAAATTATATGCATTGAGATACTCGGATTATAGAAGTGGAAACTAAAGTGCATTACTATTATTTATTATTAACAAAACCTCTGCAGCACCAAGTTGCAACTTTGCTGCACTACTCACATTCATGTGCTAAAATTTGACAACCTGCCCACTCACCTGGATGAACCTCATAACTCACCTAAACAACAAAGAAAACAGAGTAAACCATTGGATGAAATATTATGAAAAAACTATCAAGCCATTTCTTTGGGCTCAGTAACGTCAAAGATTATATCACCTTATGATCTTGTGAGGATATTTTAAAAACAGTAATTAAAAAAATTATTCTAGATCAACCAATATTTTAATAATGAATTATGCTGTGAGGCATTATTATGGCGACACTAAGCAAAACCTTTGCAGAGTAGCATCAACTCCAATTTGTTGTTATTAAGCTCCCTTTAAATCACACATTTAAATGTATTTTGAATGCAAAGGAAAGGGGAAGAAACATTTTTTTTAGATTCTATGTGATGTATGTGCCAAGGATAATTGTTTGGCCTAAAAATGCATAGAATTGAATGAATTTATCAACTGCAAAGTTTAACTAACAGCTCCACATGTTTCAAATCAAACAACTGCAGCAAGACTCATGAAAATGTTGTACTCTGTTAGTTTCATCAGTTCCAGGCTTTGACCCAGGCTCGTTTGGACTTGTTGGTACTGAACCAGAGCAGGAACTCCACGCAGGGGTTGGAGAGTCGCATCAAGGCCCTAAACGAACATTACCACCGTGTGTCACAGGACCTTGAACACCTGAAGCACGGCACTACACAGGAGGTAGAAGGACTCAGGTTAGAGATGAGGAACAAATGTTCAATACAGATTTAACAATAATAATGTGTGTGGGTGGATGTAGCAGAGACGAATCCCTGTACACTGGATGTCTTCGGCCAGAAAAGGCGTTCTGTAAAGTAGATACCAGAGTGGAGACAAGAAGAGAGGCTAACTCGAGGCAACAAGAAAATCCAGTTTAGAAAATCTAAAGAATCTCCAGATTTTGTCCAAAATTGCACCTTGCACTCTGACATGGGTCACAATATGTCATAAATCTCTTATGTTAGGTCATCTTAAGTGTGTCCTTCAAGTGTTTGTTGTCTTTCTTAGGTGGGAAAGTACTAATTAACGGAACAAGCACTGAGAACATTCTCTGACCTTCATCAAAAATAGTCCGCACAATCAATATGTGAGGATCTAATGTGTTAAAAACAGATTTGAAAACACATTTAGAATATATAAAATGCTGCTTTTGCATACACTTCTGAAGCAGTTGATGCTTTTGCATATTTAAAAATATATATAAACATCAAGGAAATTATTAATTGAACTGTCGCATATGCAAGAATATAAAAAAGAAGGCATGGGATCATTGGATTGATACCCACCATGTCTTTTCAATAAGACAAAACTGGAGTTCAGGCCAGGTCTGATTGCTACATGATGCATTTCCATTTTGATTATCATCTTAGAAAGTGGAGTACGAAGCTCGACAAGAAGAACAAGCGGATGGAGAGTCGATTGGCCTTCATGGAGAGAAGCCTGAGGGATGACTGTCACCAGAAACTGAAGTCTGATTATAGTCAAGACTTCTCCAACTTCACCCTGGAGCTCCAAAGCCAAGAAGAGAAGCTCGGTGCCCTTCAAGTCCAGCGTGATGAGCTACTCATTGGACTGAAAGGGTTGCAGGAATCCCTGAAAAACCAGGCACTACGCGTAGCCCGACTGGAAGGCCGACTCAGTGAGGTCCTGCTCCAGTGGAATGGAAGGGGAAAGGTCAGAGGGTCAGGGAGGGCAGGACTTCCTGTCAGGTCCTACGTCTCACCTCAGGAATACTATGAACCAGGAAGGAGAAGTCAGACAGAAAGAGGAGGGAGGCCTGAAAGTATTCTGGACGGACAACCGAAACCAGAAGGTACCGGCCAAATCCAGACTGATGTTCACTCACCGGCCAAGCAGCATCAACACCTCGCAACAAACCAGCCGAAACATTCAAAAGCCCAGAGGCCAAGACATCAGACTGAAGTTCAGTATCCAAATCCAAAACCGCATTCTGACAAGTTCCATCCCCAGTCACAGATCCAGACTCGGGCTCAGACTCGGGCGTATTCGATGAAGCAGCCTCATCACATTGTGCCTCATCATGAAGCCCAGGTCCAGAAACCATCACGACCTCATTCATACCACCACAAACAACCCCATGTACAAGACCATGGACAGCCCTCTTGGACCGAGGTTCTTCACCATCCTGAACCCAACGAACACCTACAAAACTGGACCAGACTAGAAGATCCACATCCCCGTTCTTCACATGTTCTCTCTATCCCCAAACCTGAGTTGTATCAGCCCCTTTCAGGCCAGTGGGATGAAAGAGAGGAGGACAAACGTGACACAAAGATAGAGACTTCAGTGATCCACAACTTCCTGCAAATTCCTGTGAGGCACAAGATCCCAGCACAGCCAATCCCTAAGAAGGATGCAACCAGTAAGAAAAAATGCTTCTTTTGCATGAATGTCAAACATGTGTAAACCCACTTGTACCTTGTATAGACTTTAAATCTCATTCCATGATAGGTTGTAGTTTGGTGGGTTTGATGTTGCATTCATGGTTATGAAAACATTTCAGCTCTACCACTCACTGTTGCTGCTTTAAGTGGCAGGTTCCTGACCAGGGGGTATGTCTGCAGTTTCAAGGGTGCTCATGGAAAAACTACAGAGTGATTTAACTAATTTGAAAGAAAAAAAAAAAAATGCAATCGCTTGTGGCTGTCAGAAGATTTAGTTGCAACAGCTTCACACAGCAAAGTTACTGACAAACAGTTAATTAAAATGGTGGCTTGGTGGTTAGCATCACAGCTAGAAGATCCCTGGTTCATGTCCCGGCCTGGGTTCTTAGTTTGCATGTTCTACTTGTGCATCGTGGGTTCTGAGGATAAAGTGGGGTATAGATGATGGATGGTTAAAGCAAACAGTCTCTGCAACTGCAAGTGGTATTGCTTCAAATGAAACATGGTCAAACCTTCTGATTGTTGAAGTTGTAGCTGAACCTTTCACCTCTGTTATCTCTCCATCTTAGCATGTAGCACATATATCATACATCAGCTCTGAGTTGTAATCTAACCAAAAATGTAAGTATTTTCAAAAGGAAGGGCCTTTTTTTCCACATGCTGATACCACGGTTGTAATCTACGTCTTCTCTCCATCTGTCTGCAGTCTGCAACGTGGACTCGGTGCTCTTGTTCCCTTCGGCCTCTGCTGAGAACTACGTCACCTTTTCACTGAGTCTCCCAGACCTTCCCGAACTTTCTATCTGCCTGTGGCTCCATGTGGAGGCTGCACATGTTGGCACACTGCTCTCCTACGCCACAGACGATAATGACAATCAGTTAGTTCTTTATGGACGCAGCTCCTCAGCCTCATCCACACCCGTCTCTGTTTCCTCTTCTCCATCCTCACCTTTTTCCTCGCTGGACTTTGTCATCGGAGACCCCGTCTATCGTCGCCTCCCCGTGTCGTCGTTTCTGCATGCTCGCTGGCACCACATTTGTGTCCTCTGGTCGTCCATTCAGGGCCGATTCTGGCACTACAACGACCGCCGCCTCACCTCCTCAGGCTCCAACTTCAGGAAGGGCTGGGAGATTCCCGGAGGTGGATCTGTGGTGCTGGGACAGGAGCAGGACTCTGTTGGCGGGGGGTTTGATCCAGCAGAGGGTTTTGTCGGGAAAATGGCAGGGTTCAGGGTGTGGAACCGGGTGCTGAGCCCTGCAGAGGTGGAAGGGGTGGCAGAAGGGAGAGGAGTGCCCAGAGGGGTGGTGCTCGACATGGAGGATATAAAGGAAGTGCATGGGGAGGTGCAGCAGGTGGCCTGTGAATGCTTAGAGCGTTGCGTCTGAGGGAGTGATGGAGGAAGATTCCTGCTCGAGGCCAAACATTTTTTCTTTTACACTTTTTTTAAAAATTTTTTTTAAATTTTCTATGTCCTTGGATGCACACACACTACTACATTTTTTGTTGGACTTAGAAATACAGACAAATATCTTTACTCACAAAGTAAAAAAACTCAAAACAGGACAGTGTCTCACTCATTGACACTTTAGCAGAGTCAAACCTTTGGCAACAACAATTGGATGCTACAGACCACATAAGCTATGTAGGAATAACCTGAGTTTAATACACCAGTCAAATTACCCTAAACTTTAATGCTTCACTTCCACTTGCCTTATATTCTGGAGCAAGAACCTAAAATAACACACCCAAATTAAAATGACTGAAGCTTCTAAACTACTACAACTGCATGAATAAATGAGAAATGTGTCAGAAAATCTGAATGTTATGCAGGAACAGAGCAGTGGGCCCTTAAGGTCATTCAAAGTGGGACATTTGTGTCTACCTCAAGTAAAAAATTATTATTCGGTATAATTTAGAGGCATCAAATTGTCATTGAGAGTTTACAAAGTGTGTTTTTTAGTTTCTCTCCTCTTAAAATACATCAGACATAAAGGAAATCTATATTATTTTTGCAGAACCAAAGACTTCTTGAATCCTGTGACCAGCAAATATGTCAGTCTTTTTTAATCCAGATAAGAAAAGATAGTTCATTATTCATTCTGATGGAAATGAATTTGCCAGATGTTACTAAAAAAGAATACAACTGTATGAATAACAATAAAAATAAGATACATTTATGAGGACTAAAAAAAACTTTTAGAGAAGTAGAAAAGTAACATTGTGCATGATGTGTGGAACCTGAAAAGGGGAAGAGTAGGGGACTGAGGATGCAGGCGTCCTTTGAGAGTTTTTGACCGCATGACTGCAACTGTAGGTGTGTTCTATGGACTGCTGGTAAAAGCTAATGTTACTTCTTTTTTTTTTAAATGAATAAACACTCTGTGAAACTCTGTTTGCATTTGTTTTGTCATTTTGTTTGGGATTTTTTTGGGTTTATCTATCTGTTACAAATAGACCTTTCTCCAACTTTTTGACTTCTTGAACACAAGTGTAACTAACACAAAAACATGATTGCTGCATAGTTTGCAGACATGGTGTTTCACTGGTTTGGCTAACTTGGATACCCACAACAAATGCAACAAATTTATCATTAATGTCATTTGTTAGCTGTATTTTTTCCAAGCGTATGTACTGAGAAGATGTCATTTTTGTTACCCTACAGTTTAGAGGACATTGTTACATTTTTTACTTCATTGCACGTATTTGATAGTTTAGTTTGATGATCTAATCTAATCTAATCTAATCTAATCTAATCTAATCTAATCTAATCTAATTCAACCTAATACCATTTAAGACAAACTATAAACGCTGTAAAATATTTATTTTCTCAATAATGAAAACCATACTTAAATATAAGGCCTACAATTTCCTAAAATTGTTAAAGTGCTCACAACACTGTGAGCATGTTTGTATAGGATGTTCACTTGTAACGGAGACTTTTTTTTAATGTAGTATTTCCACTTTTGCGATCAGTGCTTCCTGCACCGCTATATGATGACTTCATTCACTTGGTAATTGTAATAGCTGATAAAATATTGAAAACTGCCAAAGGTCTATGTCCGGGATTATGAATACTTTCACGCTGCTATTGAGTAAACCCCCATTTTGTTAATAATATTGTTAAAATTCTTTTAATGTTGTGAACATGTTAGGACATAACAACAACAACAACAACAACAACAATAATAATACATTACATAATCAGAACTCTAGAACTCTGTTATTTAGTAATTTACTTTGTGTACGATACTTTATTACTGTTTTTTTTTTTTTTTTTTTTTAACTTTGGTTTATATTTTTAGGACATATTTTTCTACTCATGTTTGTCTTGTATTTTTTTCTGCTGCTTCAATTTATAAGACTTCTAAGATTTCTGAATGGGCACAACAGTACTATAAGCAATTTATCCTCAATCCAATCAATATTTCTGATTCTGATACTGAAATGCCTAAATACATTTTAAAGATTTTTTATTTTTTTAAATTAAAAAATAAAATAAAAATGCTTTAATGGAGTTTTTTTTTATTTTATGAAAATAAATAAATAAAAAAATGTGCTTTTATACTGCAGTATTGTTACTTTTACTTTAACAAAACACCTGTTGACCTTCGGACTTGCCTAAAAACAGTAAAACTACAAATCCCAGCGTCCAACGCGCCCAGCACTTATTTTTGGTCCTGCACGCGAGCCTTACAAAGCGTCACGAGTTAGAGGAGTGATCATGGGGAGATGAGGAAGAATAACAGTGGTTAGCCAGCAGCTGTTGAAGTGTTTTTTCGACCGTTTGAGCGGCGACCTAGCGGGGGGGCCAGCATGGCTAACATCACCAAGAAGGTTTCGTGGTCCAGCCGAGCCGACGAGTCCGCGGCCGCCGGGGAGGGGACACCGCTGCTCAACGGCTCCGAGCAGCCGCAGCACTCTAGACAGGTACGGCTAGCATAGAGGCTAACCTGGCCTCACAACTCCCGCAGCCGTAATGAACCTGCTGTGTCACGTTTCATTAAGCACTATAAGGTTACCTTGAGTCATGTTTTTAAACGCCGCATGAATGCTTGAATTGAGTTCAGTGCATCGCCGCGTTCACAACGTTCATTTTGGGTGTGTTTATGTGTGTTATGGCTTGTTTGCGGTTCCTCATCAGATGCAACAACAAGCTTTGTGACTGGAAGTAATCAAATTAGTGCTAATCACATCACGTACATTGATCAGACTTAGTTATCTAGAAGAAATAATCCAGTTATTGAGAGTTTTGGAAAGCATTCCAATAGCTCGTTACTTCTTTATTTACAGGCATGTTCGACATTAGAAAATATGATGGAGACAAACATAAATGAGGTTACAAAGGGTCACAGCCAGTCTGTGGTGGTGAAATTTAATCCTGTAGAAATGTGGCTTTTAGTATGTTTGACAAAATAGTAAATATTAAGCTCAGAAAGTTCATGAGCTCTAAATGTGAATGTGTACACACACACGCATATATATATATATATATATATATATATGTATGTATATTATTTCCGAATACAGTGGGAAATCCTACTTCCCTTTTCCCTCTAATGCAGCCACCAGGACTAGACAGTTCTGTCCACCAAAGATGGAAGTAACTTAACTTCATTTCTTCTTGTAATCTATTCAAGTAGCTTTTTTTCTGAATTAAGTGACTTAACTGCTGATAATATTGTTTTATAACTAAACACAGATGATGCCTCTTTTCCAGGCATTAGAAAATGTGCTACTGTGGATTTGCTTATTGCTTCTTTAGTAAAGAATGCGAAGAATGTGATTTATCATACCTTTATCTACACACATTCTATTCTTTTGATTCGGCTCATTTTGTGTAGATTTTGTCCTGCCAGCGTTTAAAAATCACAAATACTGTGCAATGAAAAAGATAACATTTCTCTTAAAGCATTAATTACATGCAAAGTCTCTTTCATTTGACTCCAATACCTGTAAAGTATAATTATTTCAGTTTAAGTAAGGCCTTATGACATTCGAGCAATCAGCAGATTGTTGTGTCCATTACATGCAATGTTGGTTTCTTGTACTGTTGGGACATATTACGTTTTTTCTGGATAGCAACATCTGTTAGCACATCAGCCTGTACATTGCCACACGGAGCCATATATATACCATATATATATTTCTGTTGCTGTCTGTGATGTCTGTAGCTGTCTGGAGGAGGCAGTTTATTTCAAATAGGCAGACTCAGCACGGTGGATTTGGAAGAGGAGATAACATCAGATGAGGTAAAGTCCGAGCTCCAAACATCATCGCATTCTCTTTATGTCTGTTGCTCCTAGCAGTCGAATCATTACTTAATTAGTTGCATTTTCAAACTAGAATAATAATACCCCACCTTTCTACAACCAGATCAATAAGAAACAACCCACTAGTGACTAATGTGATCAGCTTCATGCTCATTTGTCTTTTATTATGTGTATCTGATGCAAAAGGTCCAATCAAGCTCAGTTTATTTATCATGGAACTTTATAGTTTGATTCCTGAGCTGCAACTTGAGATAAAGTTGAAGGTTCTGACAGTATTTCTTTCATCTCAGCTGCTTCCTTCTAAATGTGGTTGATCCCTAATCTGCAGTATGACACAGAAATGACCATCTAGTTGGCCAAAACGGGTCAGTGACAGTTGACTCATTCAGTCTGTGTAAAAGACACGTGTTGGGAAACTGTCTGGTGGTTTCCACTGTGATGCACCGCAGATAAAGAACTGGTGCAGGTTCATGCATTGGATGGTATACTTAACCTTGACTAATTAACCATTTTCCTTTTTGAGAAACTAAACAGATAATGTTAGACTTCCAAATAACTGTCCATCTCGCAGTGAATTGTGAAACTTAACAATAAATATGACGCCAAAGTAGCTGAAGTCAGGATTATACAATTTTATTTGGATTGTTTGCATAGAAACACTCACATAAACCCTCCCATAAAAATCACAGGTGAGCTAAATCCAGCATTTAAGACGCAATCTGTGACCAAAGGAAAGAAAGAATGCCTCAGGCTGTAATCAGTGGTGTTCAGGACCGCCTCCCTGATGTTTGTCACATAAAAGTTGTCACGTCTGTTTCCTTCCATGACAGAAGCCATCAGATTCAGCTGTGTTCTCACTGGCTGATGGGAATGTGACTCTGTGCATGTGATCCACTTGATTGTTGTAAACAAAAGTTTGGTTCCAGTTTGTTTTGTTTGTGTCCATGTCAGTGTAAGTTTTTTCATTCACGGCTGCTGATGGCTGCGCAGATGGGCCATAGATGTGTGAGCTAACGTTGCATGTGGATGCAAAATGCAGAACTTGATGTTTGTTTGCGTGTATGCATACGCACAAGGACCAGTGTTTCCTCCAAATTATCTGCATTAACACAAAAAAAAATCGTCATACAGTACTACAATAATGCCCTCTTTCATAGCTTTGATTATGTTTGAAAGATAATTATTTTAAATGCTCTGGAGGAAACGCTGCTGCCTTTCATCTTCCATCTGCCTTATTATTAATGCATCAGTGTGTACATTAGATAAAGCTTTTCAAGCATGTCCTCTCCTTTTCTCTTCCAGTGTCTTTCGAGAGTGTAAAAATGTATAGTTTCAAATGCTTGTGAATTGTTGCTGCACTGTCCGCCTTTTCAAATATTTTATGTGAGAAATGTATTTTTCTGCTCTTTGCTGTCTCTCACATGATTCGGGTCAAAGCTCCTGAGAACGTGTCGGTGTGCTGACTTATTTTTTTAATGTTTTTTCTTTCTTGCAGGACTCTCTGAGGGGGCGGCCTAAAGAGATCCCGCACAATGAGAAGCTGCTGTCGCTTAAATATGAGGTAAAACAGTGCACTCGAAAAGCTGGATTACACTCAGTGACACTGTGTTCAATTAGAGGCCTCATGTGTGTGTGGTATGGTGTGAAACAGACTGAGTTTGCTGAATAAAGTAATGATCAGTAGAGCTGAAGGATAAATCAGTTTCAAATTAAAACTGCAATTGCACCTGATGCTATCTTCCTTTTATGACCATCTGGCTTTCGATGGTGTTGCACATGTTTTAAATCTCTTTAAATCACACTGAAAAATGAATGGAAGCTTGACTTTAAAGAAAATATGATGTTACCAAACAAATCACAAACACAATATTTGTCAGAAATCACAGTTACAGGGCGCCGCTATAGCTCACCTGGTTGAGCTGGCGTCCCATGTGGAGGTCACGAGTTCGAATCCCGCTCATGGCCCTTCCCCACACGTCCTCCCCCTATTTTTCTCCCCCACTTTCCTGTCTCTCTCTCACTACGCTATTGAATAAAGGCACAAAGGCAAAAAAAAAAAGAAATCACAGTTATATATTTTCTCCCATTTTTTTTTATCAGTTAGTTGTTAAAAAAAAAAAAAAAAGTCGAGAGAAATCTAAACAACATGTTGGGTTGTCTTAGAGTGCAATATTGGACAGGAAACTGGCAACACTTGATAAAATGAGTTTTGCAATGATCCATGTTTGGTTTGATCCAGAAAAGGTAGATACTCACACGTGTTTTTATAATCTCTGTTTACCTGTTTATCTCAGCTTGTCTCTCTCTCTCTGTTTTTTTTCTTTTTTTATGAAGAAAAGCCTTTACTGTTTCTTTTATTTTGCTTATTTATGTATTTTATTTGGACATATTTTATTGTGCTATTTCAGAGTCTGGACTATGATAACATTGAAAACCAGCTGTTTCTAGAAGAGGAGAGGAGGATGAGTTATATGGTGAGTGCAGCAGACCCTCGTATTTTTCTGTTAACGAATTCCTTCCCTTCCACTGCACTTATCGCACCGCTGTTGTTTGTTTTATCTCTACGTGTGTTTTCCATCATTACTTTTCCCTTCTCATCCTTCTTTCATCTTGTGTCTTTAGGGTTTTCGCTGTCTGGAGATCAGTCGCTGGGTGGTCTGTGGTCTGATCGGCTTTCTGACTGGCCTCATTGCCTGCTTTATCGACATCGTGGTGGAGCAGTTGGCTGGGATCAAATACCAAGTGGTCAAAGAGAGTATCCTGAAACTTTCTGCATGATACTCCTTCTCAGACCAACCTCTTAACACCAGGCAGCTGAGGACAACACCATGCTGTCTGTTTAGATTCTCACTCATCCAGGTTAATGGCAATTCAGTGCTTCAGTGGAAGGACTTTATTTTGTTTCTTGAGTTTTCCACAGTTCTGACCGGCGGCGATGTATTGATTCTTGTGTTCAAACTACATGGCACAAGGCTTGTTAACGAGTTGAGGCTCACAAGACTCGGGTTTTTAATGATGCCTGGAGAAGACAAAATTTTGTGCCGCAAGGAGTCCACTGGCTTGTGTTGTGACTCAGTCTGCCTGCTAAGGGCCAGTGATGAACAGGCAATTTTGTCAAACATGTAGTCTTAAAAATCTGTTTTAATCAAATATTGAACTCTTCGAACAGTCTTCTGAGTCTGATGTGAATAATGTTTATTTAATACAGAAGCTGTACGAACAAACATGAGCAAAATCTTGAGATTTTAACTAACTGAACAATACATGACATCGTCCTTTATACTTATTCAAAGTTCTCCCAAACTCCTTTCTTCCCTGGAAAGCCACAACCCATTCTTCTAAAGAACTAATCAGGACATTTTTTTGTCAGCATTATGTTTGAATTTACTCATTGTTGGGGGGGTTTGATCTAATCGTGGCAAGTGTTCAACTGCCTCCTTTAAAACAAACAAACAAACAAACAAACAAAAAACCACACACCCAGGGTTTTCTCCTCTTCTCCCCTCGCGACTATTCCTCCCAGTCCTGGGACTTTCCACCATCTCTTGCTTGGCCATCATGACCTCGATTTCAACTCACACATAATGCAGAGAGAGAGCTTGTACTTTAGGGAAGCATTTTTTTCAACTGCTGTGTTTTATAGGTTTCATTAGGTTGTGGTTTCATACAGGACTGTTCAGTGTATACATGAATACAGTTTACACACCACATTTTCCAGTTTTATAATTTTTGCTTGAGTCTGATTTAAACATCATATTTTCCAGTTTTGTAATTTGTTCAATTTCAAGAAGAAAAAGGGACGCTCCTTTAATTATGGCAATGGAGCAGTTATCTCTAAGCAAGGGCAGGTGGTCTACTACAACACCAGATACTTATAGTGCAGTTCTGAGATCCTTACCTCGGCAGTTTCAACACACATTAACACCTTGTGTCATGTGAGTTTTAGGTCTTTTATTAGTCTTAACCCATGTAACTTTGGAGTGTATATCAATACCTGGCACTCACTGACAGTTATGGTAAAACTCAAAAGTGAGGATGTGCAGTTGAGGACTGACCTTTTATTCTGCACCCCCTTCTATTGCAAGACAAATCTGGAGTTTCCATTGAGGAACTTAAGTTTTTCATTACTCCTCCCTGAACTGTGCACAGTTCTTGGACAGTGCCGAGCACAGATTTGTTTCCTCATGCCCTTAATTATGTTCAGGAATAGCATGAAAACTTCTTGCAATCTATTTTGTTAGCTAAGTTATTGTATACGCTGTTTGAATATAGTAGCATGTCTGATCTGCAAATGTGTAATTGTTATTAATGTGATGATTATTGCATAAGTGCTCAGTATGTGTCTGACTTATATTTGATAGCTGATCACTAAAGAGCCAGGCACTTTCAGGACAACCTTGACTCTGAACCTTCACAGACATAGAAAAGTTTACAGAGGCGGGTGGACTGTCCATCTCTCTGATCCTCTGGGCTGTCCTCAACTCCACCTTCGTCATGATGGGAGCCATCATAGTTGCTTTTTTTGAAGTAAGAATGAAAGCAGAAATATTTTGGTAATTATCGTGACTTGAGGTTTTGTAAGACAATTTCAGTTTTCTTCCTCTTTCGTTTGATTCAATACGTTCCTAAAGCATGAGAGTGGATTTTGAAGAAGTATGCCATCGAGGTGTTTGGTTTAATCGGTCACAAACCATACGAAAATGTGTGGAAGTGAAAATTAGTTTGGCAATAGAATGTCTGCTTCCAACAAAGAATAATGTGTACGTCTCTATTATGGTTGACCACAGTTTGTCAGTTTGTGAGAAGCAACAGCTCAGGTTTTGTGAGTGAAACTTTTCTTAACACTGAAAACTGCAAGTTTCTGTGTGAGCTTTGTTCAGGTTAATTCTAAACAAACACTACCACTGTCTGTCACATCCACAGATTTACTCCTGCAATAATAAATTATGTTTTCAGTCATTCATCTTTTTTCTGTGATATAACTCCTCTGCCACTTTCCTTCTCCTCCTTCTGACTCACCCAGCCCATAGCAGCGGGAAGTGGTATTCCTCAGATAAAATGTTACCTAAACGGAGTCAAGATTCCCAGGGTTGTACGACTCAAGGTACGGGCACATAAAACACACATGACTGGATGTACTGTACAGTTTTTCACCTTCATTTCTTCACGTTTCTTATGCTCGTCTTCCACAGACACTGGTGGTGAAAGTGTGCGGTGTTATCTGTTCGGTGGTTGGCGGTCTTGCTGTCGGGAAGGTAAACATGGGCCCGTTTGAGCATTTCACTCGACATTTAAATGCAGGTTTTTGTTGTTTTCATTATTGGCAAGATGTCTCTTACATACTTGACCTGTTGTTTGCCCTCAGGAAGGTCCCATGATTCACTCTGGTGCTGTTGTAGCTGCAGGAGTCTCGCAGGGCAGAAGCACCTCTTTAAAGAGGGACTTCAAGGTCAGTGAGTTTCTATGCTATATGTGTCGCAGGCTACTCAATAGGAAGTCATATTGGATTCCAAGCATATTTTTCCTTATAATTGCATTGGCTGCAAACCCTGCATTACAAACAGACCCACTGTAGACTACAACTTCTCACATTCCTTAGCGCTCACCAATACTGTTAATTAGTTTAGCAGGGTTATGTTGATCCGTTTAAAAACATTTAGAGTGTGTTTGAGGATGAGAATTATTATTAATATAAAGTGTGTTCGTTTATGTGTTGGCAGATCTTTGAATACTTCCGGAGAGACACAGAAAAAAGGGACTTTGTTTCTGCTGGAGCTGCTGCTGGAGTTTCTGCTGCTTTTGGAGCACCAGTTGGTAAAAAAATACAGCAGTCCTGGCAAAGCGTAGTGAAAATGTGCTTTGTTATTAATCTGCTTTAGTCGTACAGCCGGTTCAGCTGCTGTAAAACCAGCTGCACAACAGTGGGAACTAAAACCAAAGACCCTATAAGTTCAAAGGCAGAGAACTTTACTTTCTTAGCTTTTTTGCTAAAAGAGCATGCATGTGCACAGCTGTATTGAAAGGGGCTTGTGTCACCATCATCTGTGGTATTTGCATCTTTTAAAGAAGTCTGGGAAAGAGCTTTAATTTTGTTTTCCTCAAAAGTATTTATTAGAAGGAATTAAGGAGTCATGTGTATAGGAAAGTCATAATATTAGGGCTGTAGTCAATAAAAGAAAATCTTCGTTGACTGAAATCTTATCCACTCTTCAACCAATTGATTAGTTGCAGGGAAGGAAAAAAATCTGCACGCTATCTCTGGATTAACGAAATTGGCCACAGTACACTGAGAGCACGCTACACGCTCATCTAAATGAATTATAAATAAACATAAGCTAGTATTTGCAGAATATTTAATCAGTTTAACTTAGTTATTCCACAATTTCCCAGCGTGATGTAATTTTTTCTGTTTTGATGAGAGAGAATGCTTTACATGCTGGTCTCGTTGTAGCTGCTGAAACTGTTGCTGGATGCACGAGCCGTTATAAAACGATTACAGACCAAGCATATTAAAACATGCAAGTTGTGATGTTCACACTCAAAGCCTTGTGCACTAACAATCACAGTTGGCAAAGCATTGTAACACAGAAGTTAGCCTAGCGTTATTAGATGGTGTGCCATGGTGATTGTTGGGTTGTGATATTCAAATTGTTGTTTGCTAACAGTTTTTGTAGCCAGCTGTTGCCACACTGACGGCTTCTTTGAAATGGTGTCAATTAGCACAGTGAGCACTCCCACAGTCTTTTCTTTCACGCTTCACAAACCATGTCTCAATCTGTTATCTGTTACCGTCGTCATGTGAAAACAGTGCTGTCACACTTAAGTGACCTCTGACTCCTCCTGCGCACCAGCAGCTCGACTCACTGCGAGGAGGAAGCTGATTGTACCTGATCACATAGCATCCGTTAAGAATCACCAGACATGTCATAAGTGGGTCAGATGTTTTGGTTCTTGTTGTTGCTCTAGTTCTTGACAGTGATTGTCTTTCTTTGGTCGACAGGCGGCGTTTTGTTCTCTCTAGAGGAGGGAGCTTCCTTCTGGAACCAGATGCTGACATGGAGGATAGTAAGTCATGTGGTCCAATTTGTACCACCACAATAATCGCACTTTTAATGATCCCATAATGGAATTCAAGTCATTAAGCAGAGAGTGTAAGAATAAGATAAAAACTGACGTAGTAATGCTTTTGCATCCCCTGTACTTCTTCTTAGTTTATGGATTTGTGTCCTCTTCCTTTTTCCTCTCTCATCTCCTGTCTTTTTGTCTTGTCTGCAGTTCTTTGCCTCCATGATCTCCACCTTCACTCTGAACTTCTTCCTTAGTATCTATCACGCAAATCCAGGAGACCTTTCTAATCCAGGTCTCATCAACTTTGGACGCTTCGAGAGCGATGTGAGAAACTTGTATATATATATTTTACTGTCCAGCCTTGTTTTTTTTTTCTTTTGTTTTTTTTTTAAGTGAGTGCAAAAGATGACGTGCAATGTTGTCCTTTATTCCAGAGTGTGGCCTATAACCTCTATGAAATTCCCTTGTTCATCGCTATGGGAGCTATAGGTAAAAGCTGTTTCGTGTTTTTGGAGATGTGCATGATTCTTTACATAGTGGTTGGACGCTCTTATTAATTTGAAATTTTGATTTAATTCCAAGAACAGTAATTTTGATTCTATTGCTGAATTTTTGCAAAGATAGCAGGAAATTTGACTTTTCTGCTACAGAATGTTCTTCTGTTCTCTTTCTGTAGTTTTAACACAACAGCTCGTGTGTGTTTTCTATTTTTCATCTGTTTCCTGTGCAGGTGGATTGTTAGGAGCACTCTTCAACGTTCTCAACTACTGGCTGACCATCTTCAGGATTAGGTAAGGTTTAGAAAGGGATCAAACACAAAAAACATTGTCATCAGTGTGCGGGGGAAGGTTCAGGTATGAAGAACTGCTGTGTATGTTTGGTGTGCCAGCAAAAACAACACACGGAATCATGTGTTGTTGCCTGTTAGAAACAGGGTGGGGTGCAAGAGGAGGACGTTTTTCCCCAAGAGTGCTGATAATGAACGTCTTGTGATTAAAGTGTGTAAAAATAGCCACAGTTGAACAGGTAGGATGACTGAGGGAGGAGACTTCTGCTAAGATACAAATGGTTCCTGCTTCATTGTCTGGAATGGGGTTTTATATACTGTATGTGCACAGTTCATTGTAATTAAATTGTCAACTTGTGTTACAATTTTTAAAAGAAGTTTGATCAATTACCCACAAATTACTAGTACATAACACTTTGATATGTAAGTGCGAAGTATTTACAGTCTAATGAGTCAGCTGTTGCTGTAAAACAAATATATTTAATGAAGTATTTGCACAGTTGCAAGTCCTACTAAGTTAGGAACTTGTAAATTTGGGTTGATGCAAACATGATTATTTTGTCTGCATTCACTACATTTACCTGTCATTTGATCATCTCAATATCCTGGCTTTGTTCATGCAAAAGTCAAACGTTATATTTTTTTCTTTTGTTCAGCAAATGGAAAAATAAGAAATAGCAGAAACATTTCTGAACTCTCTCTTAGTGGCCAGTCTCTCAAAGCATTGCAAAATCTGCTGTTTCTTTCTTTTAAGTCAGCCATGGCTGATTGATCCTAAGAAAGTAGGGAATCAACTTACTGAAACTAATGTGGTGAGGTATTGTAGAGAATCTAGGTTATATTAATGTATGTGATTGTATAATGTATGAAGTGTATCAAGTGTAGCTTTGGTCTGATAAGAGTTTTTTAAACATTCATGAATAAGACGAAACAAAACACTTGCTTAGTTGATCATATTTATTACTTGTCAGGTCAGTCTTGTTTCTAAAAATACAATCTGTTGTCCGACACAGTGAGCGAGACAAGGAAGTATGCATTTGTGCCACATTTCACAGCAGTAAATCCACTTGACATTTATAGTCAGTCGCCCGAAGACACACAATGGCACATTTGGCAGAGAAGCTTTGTCTTTTCGCTTGGCTGTTTTTATAGCACTCAAGGTTGCCATTTCACTTGGGAATGTCTGTACTGAGGTCAACATGTTTACAGTGAGCGGCTGACTAAAGACTAGGGGAATAGAAAATGTAAAATCCTAAAGCCGCGTGATTTATGTGCGCTAGATACGTTCATCGGCCGTGCTTGCAAGTGATGGAGGCCATGTTGGTTGCTGCAGTGACTGCAACGGTGTCATTCGCCATGATCTACTTCTCCAATGACTGTCAGCCTCTGGGGCCAGAACACACTGAGGAGTATCCGCTGCAGGTACACAAACACCTCCCACATTTCAAAACAATCAGTGTCCCACTTTTCTTATTTTTTCATGATGTGTAATAAAACTGAAACTAGGATACATGGTGCCAGAAGGATAGTTGGGCATCATTACAATTTCAAGATGGATTGTGGATGAAGAGTAACATTTAGCAAATTACACTGTCATTCGCAGATTTAAATAAGATTAGCACTTTCTGTGGTGACAGTGGCGCCTCCTTAGAATCAGTTTTATATTCAAGTATAGGAATGTGAGGAATTTGATCATGTGTTTTCGTGAATAACAGCAAACACTGACAAGAAAAACATTTTTAAAAACAGATGAATAGATTTTAAAAAGCAAGTGCCACAAGTAACTGTAGCATGACAAATATTTTTATACCCGACTGTACAGTTTAGTTTGAGTGAGCTGTGCTTCCATTAATGTCCTAAAAAACCGTGTTGCCAAGAGATCTGAGAAGAGAACAACATTTAGATATATGCTGCTCAGAAGTAATGATTTCGGTGGTTTCCGGACTTATATTTCATTATGACTGTTGCTATGACATACTTGAGTCGGATGTATCAACTGCTATTAAATTGGTTGACATGACATTTGTTTCAGACATTCAGACAAGTCACCTTGAGATTGGACATTAAAAATTTTGGTGATTGTTGGTGCCACAATGTTTCTCAGCTGCATTCAAGTTTAGTGCTAAAAAAACGCAAAAAACGGTAAACTACAGTAGTGAATGCGGTGTACAGTGTTTGTGTTAACATGCTAAGTTTACATGTAGGTCTAAGCAAAGCCGCTAGCATGGCTGTAGACACTTTAAATAATAAGGACAATGTACTGTATATTTAAACGATGAAGGTAACATCTGCAGCTAACTACTTTCAAAATATGTTTTTTTTTCATATTGTAATTCTGAGAATGGGGAGAGACGTCACATGTGACATTTTAACATTTCATTTTGGCTCCCTGATTCACATCAACAGCAAATATGATTGATGTTTCTTTATTGATCCGCATCCTTCCAAAAGCCCTGTATTCTGCTATAATGTGACAGCTGGTAGAAACATGTAGGAGCTTATCCAAGGACAAGACAGGAAATGCTTCATGTCTCTTTGTCTCCTTTGTCTTGTTAATATTTTCTCTGTTTCTCTTTCTAGTTGTTCTGTGCAGATGGGGAGTATAACTCCATGGCAACAGCCTTCTTCAACACTCCCGAGAGAAGTGTTCGTAGTCTCTTCCACAATCAGCCAGGTACAGCTCTGCATGAGAGCAGGCTCACTTCAACACTAAACACGATAGCACCACTCACACATACAAGCAAGTTCACCAGGGAACCAGGATCGTAGAAGTGGAAATATTATGTGCTCGCTGGTCATTTTCTCTCATTCTTCTGTGCTTTAAAGGAACCTACAATCCTCTGACACTGGGTTTGTTCACACTGACCTACTTCTTCCTGGCGTGTTGGACTTATGGTCTGGCCGTGTCTGCTGGAGTCTTCATCCCGTCTCTTCTGATAGGAGCAGCCTGGGGGAGGCTCTGTGGAATCCTTCTGGCCTCCATCACCTCCAACAGCTCCACTAGTGCACAAGACAGCACCGCGGTATTAATAGGATCATATTATTAAACATTCAGATATAGATGTCATCTGGGGATTTGATTGGTTTGGAAGTTACTATTTTGCATGAATTTGTGAGTAGAGATTTTTTTTATTGAGCTGAACTTAACATTCCCGATGCTGAGAGCTACTGTCTGACTTTGCTGTTTGTGTTTTGTTAGATCTGGGCTGACCCTGGGAAATATGCCTTGATTGGAGCTGCAGCTCAGTTAGGTGAGTAATTCTAACCATTTTTCTTTGTTGTTTTACTTTTTAAAAAAATAGGTAATCTTTATTTTAACCCATATACCATTAATAGGAATATTATAGTAATGCTCTTCTCTCCTCAGGTGGCATTGTGAGAATGACTCTCAGTTTGACCGTCATTATGGTGGAGGCAACAGGAAATGTCACATACGGCCTTCCCATCATGCTTGTTCTCATGACTGCCAAGATAGTAGGAGATTACTTTGAAGAGGTGCGTAAAGGGGCAAGGAAACGCACTCAGACTGGTGTCCTATTGTGCTGATGTTATATCAGTGATTTCCCAACAGAACAGAAAGGAGCCAAAGCACACATTTTTTTCATATCTAGTACACACAAGCTGTGTTGCTGGACAGCTAAGGCACTAAATTCTCTTCATGTAAGGCATGCACAAGAGAAGTGACAAGAAGTATGCACCCCGATGGACACTTGTGTGCCACAATTTTATGCAGTGAGGGAATGGAAGAGCTTCTTAGAGCTGCAAAAAAATGTAAACTACCGCTGATGGCACTAAAAGAGCTCAAGAGAGCTGTTGAAAACAAAAGTTACTTTCTCTTTATTACATTTCATTTGCAGTATAATTTAAAAGTCACAGTTTGATTGATGTCTGCCGACACAAGTATTATAATTCGCTGTTCGTCTTAAAGGGTAAATTTATGCTATTTTTTTGTACAATAACTGCAAAAGTAGTGTGTGTTATATTGAATTGTGGCACCTGTAGTGTCTATAACTCCTCTTTCTCCTTTAGGGCTTATATGACATTCACATCAAGCTGCAGAGCGTTCCCTTCCTGCACTGGGAGGCTCCTGCCACCTCCCACTGGCTGACCGCCAGGTACGTCCTGTCAGACTTGTTGTTGGCTGAGTCATTTTTATTGGAGGGCCCTTGAGGTCATGCCCAAAACATCCGACGCTCAAAATTAATGTCACTCTGTTTAGTTTTTGATCCTCGTTCATTTCCACCTCTTCTCACCTTTGTCCTTCTCACTGTCTCCTGCTTATCGCCACTCACAATCTAGAGAGGTGATGAGTTCTCCAGTCACCTGTTTGAACAGGGTAGAGAAGGTGGGAACCATCGTCGACGTCCTTAGCAACACGTCAACCAATCACAACGGCTTCCCTGTCGTCGTGCAGGTTTCCGGGAGCGATGAGGTACTGTTTCATTGTACAATTGGCTTCCCTTAAGCACCAAAAAAGTATTTTGGTGCTTAAGGGGCAGATCTACTGTGAAACTATCACTTTTTAAAGTTTTCTGACTACAAATCATTATGATGAAACTTCTAGTGCAGTTGCAATTGAGTTTGAAAATTGCAGATATAAGTATAAAACTTCAACAGAAAATGTGGTTTTGGTGTCTCAATTGTGCAGGTTTCTGATAGTGAAGAGGCACTCAGGACCATTTTTAGCAACAACCAACAGATGATTAGGGAGAAATCTTCTGAAAAAGAGACAGCGATAGTCTGTATTCATAGAGTAAACAAAGAACAGAGTTAATGCACCTCAAAAAAGTACCTTTAGTGGGGTTGGGTTGTCGTGTCAACTGGTCAGTATGCCCTCATCCCACCCAGTTCTCATTGGTCGAACCATTGCTGGCATTTCTTTGCTAAGGAGAAAATGCTACATCAGTAGTCTTCCAGGATTGATCTATTGTTTTTGGCAGTGAAAGGAACAAACTACTGCGTTTGCTCAACATTTACTTGGAGTCGGCTCTGAACTAATTGGCACCACATAAAAGAAGCCGTCTGTGTGGCTGCATTTTGTTAAAACAGATGGCTACAAAGTCAAGTCTAAACTCTGAAAGCAGCGGTTTGCAATATCATAGTTCAGCAGCCAACTTGGCATATCAAGATTAGGTTTGGTTTTTCTTTGACCACAGCCTTAAACATCATCAATCACCGGAACAAGATTTACTTTAAAGTTGAGCATCAGTATAAACAGAAACTGCTTTTCTTTAATTAATCACATCTTTTTTCATCCCTCTGTCCTGCTCAGTCAGGGAAACTCTGTGGCCTCATCCTTCGCTCTCAGCTCATCGTTCTTCTCAAGCACAAGGTATCACCAGGGACACGTACTAGTGCGAGTACTAATGATAATTCAAACAGAATTGGTCACTGTCGGTTTTTTGCTCTGTCTTGGCAGGTTTTTGTGGAGTTGGCCCGATCCCGGTTGACTCGGCGGAAACTCCAGCTAAAAGACTTCAGAGACGCCTACCCTCGCTTCCCCCCGATCCAAAGCATCCACGTCTCCCAGGACGAGAGGGAGTGTATGATGGACCTCACTGAGTTCATGAACCCAACGCCTTACACAGTACCACAGGTAACAGACGCACAGGGAAAGGCATCATTTAAGTTTCTCTTCTGTCTTCAGAAAGCTTTTCAGGCTTGTTTGTGATGTTTTGTATGAATAAAGTTGAACTCAAAGCGTTTCGTTTACAGGAAACATCTCTGCCACGCGTGTTTAAGTTGTTCCGAGCTCTGGGGCTTAGACACCTGGTAGTAGTAGATGACGAGAACAGGGTAAGAACTTGTGATATTTTTATTTACCCGTGTGCTTTTGGCCTCTTCAGATTACTAACTCCTGCTGTGATGACGACTGATCCAATGTTACACTTTTGGTTGTTGACCCTCTGCAGGTGGTTGGACTGGTGACCCGGAAAGACTTGGCCAGATATCACCTGGGCAAACATGGACTCGAGGAGCTTCAGCTGGCCCAGACATAGTATAGACACACACAGACACACACATGAACTATGGCCACCTATTGCCTCAGAAGCTGTTGACCACCAGCTATGCAGCCCACAAGGAGCTCTCTCTTATTCTTTAAATATTTATTAAAAATAACTGCCCCTCTGTTAAATTACTCTGATTTGTTATTTGACCGACACTTTACTGATTATCCACCAGGTTCTCGTGAAGGAAACACGCAATACTTTAGTTGCTTTGATTTTTTTTTTTTCCTTTTTGTTTTGACTGTGTCTTACATTTTTGCTGCATTTTATCTGCATCTGTGAAGTCGGAATGACAGGATCACCTAAAGTAAAAGCCCGTTTGCCAGTTTACCAGCAGTTTCATCTGCATTTGCTGGTAACTGGAAAACTTTCTGCTTTGTTTTATCCACAAGAACATTCACATGTATGTCTGTCTGTTGTTAGTCCTATTGTGCCTCCTGACCATCTAACCTTACCAGTTAAACAGTTTATAGTTACCGTATGAAGTCATGCAGATGGATACTACGGAAATCACATCTGGTCCGGTGTAGAGGATTCAGGGGATTACTGTGAGAAAAGAATTTGTTTTCATTTCATTATTGATGACTTGAAAACAGGAATCGATGTTTCTACAGTAGCCCAGAGTGGACAAACCAGACACTGGCTCCAGAGAGGGCTTTTTGTGTGTTTTGAGGTTGTAGTGTGAGTCGAGAGGTATTCAATTCACTGGATGCAACCTAATCCCGCACACCGGACCTTCTAATTACATTTTAATGTGGGTGAGATTGGTGCTTTTTATGTCTTTCTATTGAGACTTCAAGTGGTTTGCTTTCAAAAACGGATTCCGAGTAAGTGTTCAAGTGTTCAAGAGTTTATGTCACATCCACTATGCAGTTAAGGTTTGCAGTGTTTTCCATGTTTGTGTAGCTTTGCACTGAATGAATGCTGTTATTTATTGTTGATGATGAATGCTTGTTTTAATTTAAAGTGTGTGGGTTGGGCTGACGTGTGGTCAAAATGTAGGTTTTACGTTCCATCATTAAGCACTCTTTCCTGTTTGATTTTTGGGTGAAAGTGAGAAAACTGAATATCTGTCTATCTAAAGACAGATCTGTTATGTGGAGATGTAGATCCTTCCTCCCCCCTCTTTTTCTATCAGCTTTATTAAGCACACACACACACACACATATGTATATATATGTGTGTGTGTGTGTGTGCTACAGTCAGTACAAACTAGACTGATACTCAAAGGTATGAACGTTTTTTATCACTCCAAAGTTTTGCACTTTGACTGCTACTGAAAAATCTCTGTTTGTTGAGATGCACCCACAAGTGTCCCTCGTGAAGCTCTTTATGAATGTAAACCGTCATTTACCACCTATGTTCTCTTTAAAACTAATCAGTTTATCTTAGCTTTACCCAGACAAGGTCATAAAACACATTTTTCTCTGATTAATTATTTAGTGAGTTTGTAAATCTAACATTTCTTCAGTTGTCAGTGTTAATTTTTTTTTTTTGCGCATTTCATTGGTTTTACACATTTTGTTTCCCTTTTGTTGTACAGTTTTAGATGTAAAAAACGTCAACTTGTCTCTATTTTATAACCACTGGATAAACATTTTGTGAATTAATAAAGTTGAAATGTCTCTATTGTTGTAAGATTTGTTTGTATGTTTGATTGGACGACACTTAAATCTTTTGTTTTTTTGGTTCTCTGCGTTATGTATCTTCAGAGAAATCAATCTCAAAAAGCCGATCCTCTAGAAGATTTTCCTCCAGGAATGAACCTTGTGTTTTTAAACCAACTCCTAAACAGGTGGTTCAGTCATCATTGTTAATATATACTGTCCTCCTGGTCTTACAAGAACGTAGCATTATCTAATTTGTTTTGACCTTTATTACCTCGACATGGTTGATCATTTTTGTGGAATCTTCTCCACTGGTTGTTGGAAATACCCACACTGACACACCTACATTTGTAAACTGCATCAACAACAGCCACCATCTTGCTTGGCGAATGGAAATTTGTAGTTGGTGTTATAGTATGTTGATGTGTTTCCATCAATGTCACCAAGACACCAGAGGAAAGATGCCTCTTCTAGCAGAAATCTTCTGCAATTTGCTTCCAGTCCAACTGTGTTTGGAGTCTGAAACAACATTTTCATATGTCAGTGCAAATTAGTATTGTCACTGCAAGCTTACTGGCAAAGTTATGTTACAACCTGCTTGTATGTCCCTGACTTTGCTGTACCAAAGTCAGCATAAATGGATAGACGGATAGATAGTTTATTTATCCCTCAGGGGGAAAATTGAAGATATCCAGTAGCTCACATATAATACATGTAGAAAGAAAAGAGGAAAAAAATGCAAATGGTGCTGGAGAAGAACAAGGTGAGAGGAGAATGAATTAGTGTAAATGTAGTCTAGCAATTTAAAGAAACGTATGCAGGAGGAGTGATGGAGGAGAGAGGAGATGGGAGGGTTGAGGCAGGGTGGAGGAGGTGATGGAGGTGATGGGAGGGAGCGGGTAAGGCAGCTCAGACAATGACCTGTGTTACAAACCTGATGTAGAACTGTTTAAATTGTTGTCTGTTGTTCTTCTTGTAGCCAGCGATGGTTTTACTTCCCCTCCACACCTCACTGCTGCTGTTGTCCTCCAGTTTCTTCCACCTGGTATGTTTCTAATCTTCTTTTATATGACAGTATAGTTAAAAAGAATAGCACACTCACAAAGATATCCTGGTGTTAAATCACACTTCAAGTAAGAATCCTTCTAATTTGTCACCAAGCTCATTTAAATGAGCATCATCTGGTCAACCTGAACACCAAAAAACATCCATTACAAATAAGCATAAATTAGCAAATTCATTCAGAAAACTACCAGCCTGAGTGGAAAACTCAGTAGTGCATATTTTTACAGATTTTACTTTAATTAAAAAAAATAAATTGTGTAACAAGAACATCTGCAAGTTCCCCAAAAAAAAAAAAAAATAAACAACTTGCCCAGTGTCTGTCCTACTTAAATACAAAAAAAGGGTCGTCTTTGAATTGAAGAGTAAAAATTAAGGGGAAATGTTGCAGACAAAGAAAAAACGTATAATTCAATATGTGTAAAGTGCAATATTAATATTAATCCCACCTACCTGTGAACATAATGTTTATCTACTCCGTAGTTGTTCTATTTAACCACCAGATGTCAGTACAAGGAAATTAAACTCCTTCCTCGTGGCTACTAAAAGCTTTTACAGTGTGATCCAGACAGTGGTTTAATATGTGGTTCCATACTACTGAATGTGTTTATTTCTGATTCCATCTAAAGCTTTGTCTCTATTGTTTTCACTATAGAGTATACATGCAGAGGAAAGAAATGGAAAAAGAAACACAATAAAGCAGATCCTGAAATGAGGAGCAGGTCAACCATCTAGTTAGAGAACATAAATATGTATGCCTTTTCAAATTTATAAATATTAACCATTATTCTCCCGTCATTTTTACTCAATAGAGAGATTTTCAGGCTTTGCTTGTGGTCTGGTGCGTCAGCCTTGAGCCACTTCTTTGTGAGCTTCTTACCTACAGTCTTGAGCAAATATTAGTCTCCTGCATGTGCAGTTTTTTTTTCCCCCCATACGTGGAAGTAATGAATCGCACAGTGGTATGGTAGATGACATCCACGTTTTTTAAAGATGGTGGAAGCAGCATGCAGGATATTTTTTGTCCAAGGTGGACAGTGTGGTAGGTTAGGAGTACATAATGGTTTTTCTGTATTCATATGTGATGCAGGCTCTGTTGCACTAACATGATCCACTATGAATCTTTAACTTCTGCTTAAGCTCTGAAAGACAATTTGTTGTCGAAACAAATTCCTAGATGTTTATAATGCTGGACCGTACCAATTAGATCGCCATTAACAGTTTGGATAGGATTGAGAACATCAGTGCTTAATGCTCTTGTAAAATTCATACCGTTTAGTTCTTTTAGAGTTTGGAATAAGTAGACAGAGTGGTCTGCAAGTCATTAAAAGCAATTTGTAACCTGGAATGAGGTGGGGCTGATGGCATACCAGATGCTATAATCTATAAAAATTGCAATGCAGTGCTGAGTTGGAAACTGAATATAATATTTATACAGAGTAACGCAGTGGGCCTAATATCGAACCTTGAGGAACATCTAATTGACTATTTTGATTTGTAACCGTCAGCAACCGTCTATCAGAGCAATACGATTGGTGGCCGGGTCATCAAAAGGCCACAGAAAGCAGCTTATTAAACAAAATGTTGTGATCAGCATCATCAAAAGCCTTTGCCAGATCTACAAAAGGTGCAGCACAGTGTTGCTTTTTGTGAAGTCCAGTCATTTCCACGTGAGCAATCGCTCAGCTGCACATGTTTGGAATATGCAATGATGCCCTTTAACTCTGGACATCTCAGAAAGCTGAACCATGTGACAGACAGACAGCCTCTGGTCATAATGGTAATAATAATAATGCTGAAGGGCTGTAGTCCCTACTGGCCAGTTTTCCCATCCAGTCCGACCAGCCCAACCTGCAGGCTGCCTGACTCACCACTTCCACTGAATCCCAGGTGCTACCTTTATACATGGCCGTACCCAGTTTGTTCATGTTCAGTTGATGATAACCGTCCATTTCATTAAAGCACAGACTATGTAGAATATTTGTTGGAAACTGGATGAAGCATTTTGTCAAACTGACATTTGGCATTTTTTCTCTGAGGTCTCATCCCTTCGCCCACACCTTATTTAGCCAACCTTAAGCCGCATGCCTCGCTCATACTTTGCTAACTCCTGTAGCTCTTGCTTGTCAGATGGGAAAAAATGGCAGAACAAGAAAACTGCCACTGAGCGTTTTAGGCAGCCGGATGTTTGTGCACAACCTGCTGCTAAAATGCTCGGTAATGGCCACAGCCATGTCAAAGCGACTCTTCCGGTCTGCCAGGAAGTCGTGACACGTGGAAGCTGTCGTTGCAGTTTCAGCCTGAATGCAGCTGCTGCAAAATGGGATTTGGACATCATTAATTATACTATTTACACATTAAATATTGCAATATTACAAACCAACAAGTGCAATATCACCTCTGTAAACCACAAAATATGTGCAATTACTTTTTCCCAATTCTATTTTATCTTTTTTTTAAAAATATATATAAAACTGACTCGAGTAAACGCACAAAGAATTCCAATGTACCAGTACAGGGATGTACTCGTGCAAACGGCAATAAAACTCTATTCTATTCTTATACTCACAGACATGTCTGTTTAAACATCCAGTGGCCTGAAACACTTGTCATCTTCTAAAAGGTAAAATCATTATGCCAGTTGACTGAATTTCATGACCAGTTTGGTGATTCATATCAGTTGTTTCTGCGTTGATATGAGCTCACTGGTTTAACTCAACCATCTCTATCCATATAAAGTATCTTTGATTTTTCTACTGCGGCAGGAGATTTTACTATTAATTTTAAACCACTTCATTGTTTGCATCCAGATTTTTTTTAAACTTCTGAGTCAGGCTTCCTTTATGAGGCTCCACAGCCTGAAAGCCTTGTGCAGGACCTTGCTGACTGTACCTGTGACAAAGATTAACACTGAAGGAGATGAGAACTAATTCAGCCTTTGCTTCGCAGCCTACATAGAGTTATTGGATAAAACACTGTTAAAGAGGTGTTAATTCAACTTCATGGTCATTTCAGAGGCTACAGTTTGCATTGCAGTTGAATTTCACTAAATTCTACTCGGATACATTTCTTAACATTTCATCCAGGCCATTTATATCAATGCAGGTGAACTAAATCAGTGGTTCCCAAAGTGGGGATCACAGCTTTATGAATCAAATTCAGTTTTAAAATAGGTACATTTTAGCCACAGTTGCTACAAAAGATTAAAAAAATAAATAAAAAATAGTCATTAAAAATAAAGCCATGATGGACACCCCTATAGCTCATGGAGTTGAGCGGGCGACCCATGAACAGGGGCTATAGTTCCCCGACGCAGCGGTCGTGGGTTCGACTCCCGCTCATGACCCTTTGCTGCAGGTTTCTCCCCATTCTTCTCCCCCCCTTTCCTGTCTGTCTGTACTGCTCTGAAATAAAAGGCAAAAAAAAGCCCCCAATGAATGAATAAATAAATAAATAAAGCCATGCTAATAGAATTAATCTAATCGGGATCTTTCTGCATGGAGTCTCCATGTTCTCCCCGTGCAGCGTGGGTTCTCTCCGGGTTCTCCGGCTTCCTCCCACACAGTCCAAAAATATGCTGAGGTTAATTGGTGATTCTAAATTGTGCGTAGGTGTGAGTGTGCTTGGTTGTCTGTCTGGCCCTGCAATAGACTGTATGTACACGGCTTCAACCACCTCCAGTCAAAGTCGGGGTGTTATTTTTGAGGATCAGGGGCTGAAAAGTTTGGGTTAAAAATGAGTATCGACCTCTCCTGATCACTTGAATCTCTAATCTGTAGAATGGAGCCTCTGTGACTTTTTGTAATTTCGATTTCTGATCTTTTCCAGTGTGTTTTTGTAACAAAGAAGACAAACTGGAAGTGAGA